TGTGAAACCGAGAAAACACATGGGGTAAAAGTGATGGCAGCGTGTTTTTCTTAACAAAAACCATGAGTACAGCACCCACTTGGAGATAAGCTTGGAAGGATTGATTGGGAGGGAGGGTGACACTGGAGTGTCCTCTTGACCAATCCGGACCATGTTGCATAGCCTAGCAATCGGCAGCACTCAAATCATGGCGCAGGTCAAAGTCATAAGAAAAACACCCGGCGTGGAGCCATGGAGGCCAGCAACTGGTCATGCTAGCTGCAAGCCCGCAAGTGCGCGAGGAAAATGACGGGCCGAGCGAGTGGCCTTTGTTCGGTTTCGAGCGACCCCATGCACATGCATGATTTCAACTGTGGGTGTGGGTGGCGACGGCTCCTGCAAGTTGCTGAGCACGGGAGCTGCAGCCGCGTTGGCAGTACACGGCGCCCGCCTTGTTGCGTGGAATCCGGAAATGGGTCTGGATACGTGTGAATGATCGGTGGGGGTGGTGCGACGAAAACCGGCGGCCACGGGGACGAGGTTGGTCATCATCCATCGGGTTGGCATCCGTTCCACCGTGTGCGCAACGGCAACGCACGGTTTCGGGCCTACACGTACGGCTCCATGGCGCGGTGCCGCGGAGGTCTTTTGTTACGGTGTATTTTGCTACTGGCTGTAGTGAGTAGTGTAGGCCACATTTCGCTGATGATTACGTGGTTGTAAGCCTCTGTTTGGAAATAGGGCATCTGTAATGTTGACCCACAAATTTGCTTCAACATTCGTTCGCCGATAGGTGGGACCAGTCCGCGAATACGGATGCGAAAGTCGGGCATGCAACGCTGCCCGTATACATTTCAACCACTATTTAAACTAAACGGTCAAAATTCATGCAAACACGGCGGATTTCATATAGATCGGACGAAATTCATTACATTTTAGATAATTTTTAACTAAACCATTCTCTAGACCTAATCTAAATGATTCTCGGCGCCCATTCCCCACGTCCGGCCGTGAGCCCCGAGAAC